TATATATATATATATATATATATAATAAATCGATAGTACACTATAAATAAATTAAAAAAAACGTTGATTACTACTCTACGCTGTAGAAGCAAAGATTGTGAAACACCAAGAATGTTCCTTACAAAGCTGCCACCAGTAACACGAATATTTATAATTAAAGTAAGATAAGAGTCAGTACAAAACAATATAGAATTAGTAATTTTCGAATTAAAATTAGTTAGTAAATCAAACATAAGAGAAACGATGATTTGTTTAACAGAACCGTAGAAATTATACACTATAAAAGTATTTACAGAGACTTAAAAACTAAAATATCCTCATTACACAATTAAAAACTATGGTCAGAGGTGATAGTCTGTTTTCAGTAAATGCATGGCAACATTCAACAGAATCAACTCTCGTTGTAGAATCAACTTGTATTCAAATGTAATAAATAATCCATAGACGATATCGCCATCGTTCTTATTTTGGGAAACGAAATTATTCAACGAATGATGTGAATGCACGTGATTTCGGTGTAAACGTTGCACCTTATAAGCGTTTTAGATTTATTTACACCCTTTGGTTGTAAATGAAAGCTTGAATTGGTGTTAATTTTAAGGGAAAAATGAGCTAAAAAATAAACGGAATAATCTGAATAACTTTTGATCCAAAGATAGGATAGGATCGAGAACTCGATCTTAGTGGTTTGAAGGGGTGAATTCAAAAATGCTAATTAGTGCAGACGATGTCTTAAAATACGAAACAAGGCACAAAAGCGAATTGTTTCCAAATAAAGATACTTTTTTTTAATGGATTAGAATTTCTAATCCCCAAAATATAGAGAGTCATCAATATTTTGGCAATCAAGGCAATCAGGGAAATATGGCCACAGTAGTTTGATCAGGAGAATAGTATAGCGGTCCATAGTGAAGCTGTCCAAAGTTTTGACCCCTAATGTAAATTCATTTTTTTTTTTTTTTTTTTTTTTCCCCATATCTTGAAAAATCTTTTTTCGAAATGAAAAATTTGCTCAAAATTAAGTAATTCGTTTATTAAAATATAATTCTATAAGAAAAAGCTTTTTGTAAATACTTATTAGTTTCAATTCGAATGTAAAAAGAAAACAGCAACATATATTTAAAATTCGGTTTCTCAGGAACTATTCGACCAATTTCCCTCAAATTTTTTATTTAGCCATTTACAATCACGATCTTCAATATGATGTGAAAATAATGATGTATATTGTACAACTAAAAATGTTTCATTACTATTAAATAAAATAATAAAATAAAACAAATATTTACTAAAATTTATCTTTTCATAGGCTTAATTCGTATAAAATTTTCTCGAGATAAGTTAAAATCCAAGAAAAAAAATAAAAATAAATAAAATGAACGTATAAGAGTCCAAACTTTGGATCGCTTTCTTAACCAAATTATTGAGACCATATATCCCTGATTACGACTACCCCCTATATTTTGGTGATTAGAAATCAAAATTCGCAGAAAAAAAATTCACATTTATTAAAAGAAAGTACGTTTCTGTGTCTGATTTTGTAATTTAAAATACTGTCTGCACTAATTAATTAACATATTTGAAGTCACCTCCTCGAAACATTAACATAAACATTAAGACGTGAAGATCCGATCATTAATTGAAATATTATTCAGGACGGTCCGTTTATTTTCTTGGGAACTGTACATCACAGTTTTTACACTCTATATAAATAAACGTTTAATTTAAATTTGTTTAATCATCTGAGAAAGCAACAGTTTAAGAAACAAATTACGATTAAAGTATCTTAGAAATTATATGAAATGTTTGGTTTTCACTTTTAGCACAAAAACTTTTTATGTTACTTGAAATGTTTGAAACGCTTCTTTAGCGAGTAACAAAGCGTGTTCTTTTTATGATGTTTTGGATAATAAACTTTAGGTATTTAAAATAAATGTTCGAAGTTCAATTTGGAATTGAATTTTCTCTCACTTTACTGCCATTTTTCTTGTGCCTCTTGTCGGTGAACATTTCGGTGATTTATTACAGTTCAAAATAGAGGCTTACCAACCATTTTCTTGCTTGCGAACTTTTAAGTTATCCTGTTGAATTTGATTACCGCGTAGTTATTAACTGCATTAATATGTTCTTCAGAAAACTCTTCATTGACTAAGGAATACGACATTCCAATAAAGACAGCAATGCCACTTGAACATTCGCTATTCTTGGTAAAAACGTGTCACTGCTTTAAACAATTAACGATTCGCAAAAGAAGTCTGTGAGCACAAAATCCTCGATAGTGATTGACTCACCTAAATTTTGAATTCGGTCACTAAAAATAAAAATAAATGTGAAGGCTGTTTATAAGCATAACTCTCACGAAACATAATAAAATTTAGACACGGCACTGTTTTTTTTTTGTGAAATGTCAATAACAGGCATTTAATTTGTAGGAATTATTACCACTCACACCAGTCAGATACGATTTTAATAAAGTACTAGTTAGTCACTATAAAACAAGAGCGACATCTAGTATCAAGCTATAACACTGGGCCATTCATAATAACCGTCCTTAATATATATTTTTGGAATCCCTATCAAAAGTGGTAAGGAAGACATAAAACGCTTTCGAAATTTAAAGAATTACTTCTGTAAACTTAATAATCATAAAAAAATTAATTTTATTTGATTAATGAACGAAACACAGAGCAGATAAAGGTTGGTTATAAGGAAGACTTCAAAAAATCATTAAGCAATCGAACTGGTTTTGATGTCTTTAGGCTCGACCTCTTTTCCAATAATGCGAAAATTTTAAAGTGTTTTTTCTTCTCCTTTTTTTAAAACGTTGTTTTGCTACCCCTAGAGTGAACATAACTCTGAAAAGGATTCTAAAAATTTATATTATGGGTACTGTTTGTGCAATGCCTTGTACAAACCTTGTGTTCTATTTACGTTAATTTATTTTTACCCTACTATGTACGTTTCTTTGACAAAGATTCTAAAAAGCTATGTTAAAGGCGATGCTTACAGAACATCATGCGCATTTATTTACATCTATTTGTTATTCCTAATATGTATATTTCTCTGACAGGCATTCTAAAAAACTATGATGAAAATGGTGCTTGCGTGTCACCATGAACACTAATTTGCATTAATTCATAGGAACTTTTATACGAGCAAAAATAATTTTTTTAATTCTTATGGGAAAAAAACGAAGCAATAAAATTCTGGCAGCGATATATTGTATTCACATAAACTATACAATTTTATATTCAAATTCGATAACTTTTTCGGTAATAGTTTGTTTACAGTGCTCCCTAAAACATTCTTATCTCCAATTTCAACTATTTATGTCAATAATTCCGGTTCAAAATGGTTCAGACGGTGAGCATCGGTTTGCTTATCAATAGTTTAAATAAAATGTTCAATTGTTTATAATCTCTTTTTTTTTTTAAATTTCTAACGCTTTTCTGTTAATCTCCTTCCCTGTCACTGAGAGTCAAATCTTGAAATTAAAATTTCAACCACTGATTAGTTCGAGCTCTGAAAACTCTACTTAAGCTCTTTTCTTGATGATTATGAACTATACTCATTTGTTTACTAACGAATGCGACCATAATTTACTTCATTTTATTATAAAATAAAATTTATCGTCAATGAAAATCCTCATCACTGCAACCAAAATTTATTGTCATATTATTACCGTGATGAATTTATAGTCATTATGAATTTAAATTTCTTTCCAAATACTTGGAATCTTCAAAAGGGAACTGGTTTTCTGCGTTCACTAATAATTTAAGTGAAAGCTCTCTTAATAAAAATGTTCACCAATCGAAATTTAGTCCACTTAGTGAAAAAAAGAATAATAAAATAAAACAAGCATTTTAATAAAGGCTACATCTTCAATAAAAACTACGTTCGTCATAAAGGTAAACTTAAAAAATGAAAAAAAAAAAACAATTTACAACAATTTTTTCCAAGTAAATTAAGAAAGAAGAAATAAATTGAAGATTTTTTGTAAGACATAAAATAGTAAACGCACTGAGCATCGCGTTCGCACTCAATATCTATCAACATCAATCTATCACTACTTTTACCAATACCATCTCCATTAACCTATCCCCATTAATCTAACACTTATCACGATTAAATCCTCACTCTAAGAAATAAAACTCTCACTCTTTGCGATTCAGCAAACCTGTAGTATCATTTTTACAGTACTACTACTATCACTGAAGCAAGTAGAGTTTAGTTTAAGATCGACAAGAAAATAAAATAATTTTCTCACTATTTTATCTAATTAAAAAGGTTTTTTTTAAAATTTATATTTTATTTTCTTATTTGAAGAAACATTATCACCAAAGAAGAAAAACATATATTGCAGTTATATCGTATTTAATGATATTTCACATTGTCTAACAAAATTAGCATAAGTAAAATTATCAAAGATTGGGAATTTTCTGTCTGTTATTCTCAAACTAAATATCAAAACCAGCTGCTGATTTGTCATCTTAGGAACAACGCTTTGTTTAGTTTTCAACATTTTAAAGTCATTTAACAAGAGGAACAAATCAAGCCCAGGTGGTTTATTAGGATATTTTAGTAGTTAGTCAAGTATAAATATCCGGATCAAAAGAGGCTTGAACAGATTCTTACAATTTCGCCCTTTCTTTCTTGTATAAAGTAAGTATCCATTGGTGTCAGGACGCATTAGTAAGTATACAATTTTTTTATAAATACTAAACATGGGTTTGGATTCTAATGAAGACTATTCTGGTAAAGCGTTGATGCGTATGACGAGGGAGATGACCCTAAAGCAGCAAGGAGAAAATTGCAAAAAAATAGAAAAAGGTCAAAATTATCTGACAACGATAGTTGGTGTGGCAGGCGTAGCATTAGGACTGGCAACCTTGTTTGCCATGCCGTTGTTGTTCGTGGTCGCATCTGCGCTTTTGGTTAATGTATTGATTGCCAAGGCCTTGACAGCAGACGAGAAAATTGAGAGAGAATGCTCTGATGTCCCTTTTAAAGAGTTAGACGAAAAAATGAAAGCTAGACAAGAAGAAACAGATAGAAAAATTGCGGAACAAACTGAAATTTTGAAGGAAGTGAATGCAAAAGTAACCCAAACTCTCGAGAACATAGAAGAGGCAAGAAAGGAAATGAGCGATAGTTTTCAGAGGGTATTGAAAGAAATAGGGGATCTAGATGCTAGTAATCCAGTTTCAGAAATAAAAACAGCGATCGAATCAATTTCATTTAGTGAGGAGAACAAAAGGTTAGCGACTCCTGATCGATACGTTTATATCATCGAGCAAGAAGTAGCTACTAAATCTGACTCATCTCTTTACAATCACATCGGACTCCAAGGTAGTCTGTATAAGGCCATTTTTGCAGTGATTAACAAGAAGAATACCATCAAACCAAACATCGCCCTTCCCGGACTCAACATTGGAGTTACGACTTACGCATCAACTGTTATTACTCTCGTTCAGCAACTTAGATATATGTCGGAATATGTTTACCAAAAGGGCGATTTGAATAAGTTCAACAACTATTTCAGTCGTCTTATTTTTGATTTCAACTATTTCAAATTAATTCTTAATGGTTCCTCAAAAAAGCAAGGTATAATCGACCGAGTTACAAAGATATTAAGCGAAGCGAAAAAAAACAAAAGCAAGCAAGATCTTGGCGAAGAATTGTTCGAAAATATTGGAACATACATCACCCAACTTAATCAATTAAAGCAAAAGATTGCAGCACTTTCATTAGATGTACTCGAAACCACCCCAGATAAAAACATGGATATTGATTTCAACTCCAGAACTGGGAATCAACGCAGTAGTAGTAACTTCTTGGATTGGAAAAAAGGCACGCAGGTGAGCTACGCGGTGCAGTTCGAAAAAGACGGTAAGTATTCTAAAGTTAGTGGCTGGACTTTACCACAGGAAATAGTGAACATAGCCAACCCGGATATTGTATTCCGGAAATCGAGCAATATGAATAGATTAGTTTTCCGAAAATTTGATGATGGTGATGCAGAATTGGCATATATCCTCCCTGGCGGCTCAGAAGTAAAATTTAGAGATGTCCACAGGGATTTATATAATTTAGCTTTTAAAAACTCCCTCAGCGAGTCTCAGGTTTCAAGTAACATGGTTAGACTCATTAGATTGGGCGCGAATGTTAAGGCAGTGTTTGAGGGTAAACGAACCGTTATTCAAGCGGCAGCTATTGCTGGACGATCTGTTATGTTACGTAAGATATTAGAAAAAGACCGCTCTCTCATTAATAAACCAGATAGACTCGGCTTCACCCCTCTTCACTTAGCTGCTGAAAATAAAAGGACCGCTTTTGCACGATGGCTAATTAATCGCGGAGCAAACGTTAATTTACAAGGACAGGAATATAAAATAACCCCTCTGCATTTGGCTGTGCGTTACCATGCCGACGAAATTGTAGAAGATTTGTTGGAAAACTCAAAAATTGACCCAAATTTAAAAGACGTAGCCGGTCTCACTCCTTTGCATTATGCTGTAACCGATGAAAATTACAATAAAGAGCTTTTCCTTACACTAATACGAAATAGAAAAACAAATTTAAATGCAAAGGATAACAATGGATTAGCAGTTGTGCATTATGCAACCATACTGAATAGATGGGAAGAGGTAATTGATTTAGCTATTCAAAATAACAGATTTGATATCTATGCAAAGGATAATCAACAAATGTTAGCTGTTCATTACGACGCTATGAAAGGAAATAAGGTTGAAAAATTAATATCTTCTTTAATGTTTGATGAAAAAGCATCTAAGCTTAATGATGCAGCAGGCGAGAAACATTGGACTCCTTTACATTTTGCCGTATTTTTTAAGCAAACTGCTTGGGTGGAGTATCTGTTTGGGCAGCATGAAAATGTGGTATCAAAGGTCAATGTAGATGCTAAAGATATCGATAATCAGACTCCTTTGCACTTAGCTGCCGGGGCTGGCTTGAAAGATATTGTTAAAATTCTTCTGGATAATGGAGCAAAAGTGTATGAAAAAACGAAGAAACAAAATGCACCTCTTGATCTCGCAGTTATGCATAATAGAAAAGAAGTTATTGATGATTTGCTGACATTTGAAAAAAATCAAAAATTGAATAATGGAAAGTCTGCTAAAGAAAATGATACTAAGGCGTGTCAACTAGCAAAGGGAGAGATGTTAAATCTACTAAAGAAGAAGAATCGCTGTGGCAATTTCCGCCGCTCGATTAAATCAAATTCTAAAAACTCTGCTCGGGGATTCACTCTTACTGGCATGCTTGAAAACAATAGTTTAAGACCTTTGTTAATTTCGAATAAACCAAAAGAGAATTTGGAATTCAAAAATATTAAACCTCTAACACAAGTAGATGTAAACGGTGCCTTGCTTTTACTGGATCTCTTCGTACGGAAAGTGACGAACGAAAAATACAATTCTGCAGTGATTGGTTCTGAATCTATGTTGGATGCGCGAGCTCGAGCATTAAACAGCACGGATAACTTGCAAAAGATCATGGAAATGGCAGGAAATGATGGAGATCTGTTTGGCATTCATTCGAAGATATACAAGGCTTTTATGAGCGGAAATGATTACAAACTTGTAAAAGAAATATGCACTTATTTAAACAAGTACTCCACTTTAGAACCACAGGAAGTTGAAAAGTTTATTTTTGCAATGGTTGAAAATAAATCAGCTGAAATTACCAAGAAAATAATTCAAGGTAACTTTGAAAACTTAGTCGCGCAGGCCTGTTATCGTAATCACTATTAAATCCTTCCGTCATTAAAGGAAGCCTGATTTAAACGAAAATAGATTATTACATAAAATTAATAATAGAAAGATAATTTAACTTAATTATAGTTCAAGAATTTTTTTCTTCGATTGAAAAAAATTGGCTAAATAAATCAAGGAGGTTAATTTTAAAAAAGGCATGCACCGTGATAATTGTATCAATATAAAATTTCCAATTAGACTCCAAAAGTATTGAGTTTGTGATTTCTTAAAAACCTATGTGGAAGATGGTATATAAGTAAATCAAATTAATTTAAACAGCTAGGTTATTCTTTTCATAATAGCGCTTTCTGCATTACTGCTGTGTTTTTAGTTAACTTATTTTAAATTTAATTTGAACTTCTAAGACAATAAATAAAAAATTGAAAGAATTTAGAGAGAAATACATATACGCGAAATTTGACGAAAGTATAATTTATGCATGTTTCACAAAACTGAATAAGTTCTGAATTATTATGGAAAATTATATTTCAGAAAAATAAAATTTTAAAATAAAAAGTGTCATTAAACTTTGAAAAGTAAATAATAATGGAATGTAAATAGTATTTGCTTACCTCGTTTTTATATTATCATGAAATATGAATTTTTTTGGTTAATTTTTATTAATCTAATTATTAATTTTTATTTCATTATTTTTGGTTCATTTTTATGAGTTTAATATAGATTTTTTGGCGCGTTCATGCATTGTTTGTATTGTGTTGTTTTACATTGCGTAGAACAATGAAAAATGTACCTTTAATTTTTTAAGGCATTAATTTGAGTTTGAAATAACAATGGTGTGAAATGATCAAGAATGTAAAAAAAAAATTTTTTTTTGAATTACAAAATATCAAATTCGGATATTTTTAAGAAAATGTTTCTTTAAAAAAATTACTAAAAGGGCAAAAATCTTTTATATTGTTGTAATATTTTTCAATACATATAGCTGTTTCTTTTTTTTTTTTTTGAATGGAATTACCCAATTTTTAAAATTAATTTAGATTTTGTTTTCTATCTTTACATTCAAAGTATATTTTCGTTACATCTTTTATGTTACTAAAATGTATTTGCGAAATATTTGGAATATGACAAAATAAACAAAAAATAGCGCATTTCGACACAAATAAAAATTTTACTTTTGTTGATAATTATATAGTTACTATCTGAATACCCGTTCTTTGCAAGGGATGAATAAAAAAAGAGAAAGAACGAAAAGAATCAATAAATCAGTACTGAGAAATCATACGAAATCATGCTTAAAATTGAAAGGTATATACCGATGGAATTTGAAGAGTTTAGTGGAAGAACCAGGTAAATGTATATTTCTAGGGAAGTTAATGAATTAGAGAAAACAACATATAGTGGTTGTATCAATGTATGTTTAATGTAACAGAATTGTTTTTGCCTTCGCTTTAATCTTAACTGATCCACATTAGTTTTTAAAAGACTTGCATGAGTTTTATTTCAAATTAGACAGAAGTAAATAATAAGGCGAATAATTATTAGCCCTGATTTCTTATAAATTTATAATGAAATAGTTCTGATACCACTTTTTCGAATTATAATTACAACCTCTTTGAAAATGTCGCTTACCTTGTTTTTCCACTAAGCTCTTCAATTAATGAACTAAATTTCAATGCTTTTTAAATGTATTATTATATGTCACCCTTTCTGATGACTTTACGTTATAAAACTAAGGAAAACTCGTTTTTCGTAGTTCATCCTTGCAGAATAAATATTAACTGTATTTAGCGTCACTTGACATGATGTTTGTTATTGCTCACGGTCCACTCATGATAGCCAAAATTTACCACTGCCAATTTCTTCCGGTGAATATCCCTTTCGAGGGGCAAAATTATCTATATAATACTTTATACCAATACTAGTATCTTTGATGCTTACGACACAACCCCTTATTTAGGTTTTTGAGAAATACATTTATCAGTGGCAACAAACTAAATCCTATTTTTAAAAAAAAATTCGAATTCCTGAAGGAACTTGATAAAGACTTAGAAGCATGACCACTTCTCCATCAGAACTTTAAATTGCAGTTTAAAATATTTATAAGTAGTGCATAATAGTTCTTTTAATTCAATTCATTAAAATATTAAAACACTATCTTTGCTACCACTGAAAAAAAAATTTTGAAAAAAGGGAAAACCCGTTTTATAATTCTTATCAAAACTGCACCATTTACCATAATACCAGATCTACATAGTACCAAACTAATTAAGTGCCATATGTGCAGGACAATTTTCTATAGTTCTTATGTCGACAGTGACCTTCCTCAAGCCTTGAACTGCCTGTATGTGGAATTTAATGGCTTTCCGTTGGATGATTTAGGAGTCTATAAAGGACGAACACAAATCCACAGACAGACACTCATTTTTATGAATATAGATCATTTGATGTATTTCTTATTTTGCTTGAAGACATTAAAGGCTTAATTTTTAAACAGTTGAAACTTAAATAAATAGAATTGTACTTGAAATAAATTTATGTTCAATTTAAAAATCTTCTTTATTTTTATTTTTTTTTAAAAAATGGTATTTTAATTTTATGTTTGCACACAAAATACCAGCAATAAATGAAATATTATAAAATTATTTTTTTTTAGATTATAAATATTTGGTTAGACTATATTTGAGGATGCCCTTTGATTCTCACCAAGTTGTGATCGCGGTTGATCGCCAAGCTGAGCGATATTGTTTTATTTATGGGAACGTCAATAGTCTTTTTTGGAAACCGAATCGTGATTCTGATTGGTTCTAGATTTAAGCGTTATTTTTTAATGTTCAACGGTATATATAATTTCAGAGGTCAATTAGTTCTACTTTGGATGTCGGCTGATACGGTTAATTTTGTGGGGAAAAAAGTGAGGATACTCAAGTTAAATAAAGTGAGTCGATTTGCTTTCAACTTTTTTTTCTGCGCTTACGCCATTAATTTTTGTTTCGATTCAAAATGCCTTTTATTGAGTTTATTAATTTTGCTTATATTGTGTTCATTGCAATTTTATAAAGTTTTGGCTGATGTTTTATTGAAATTTCATTATGTTTTGGCCGCCATTCCTGTTTGCACTGTGTTCCGCGCAAACAGGAATGGCGCGAAACAATTGCCAATATGTTTTTACCTAAATATTTTATTTTGCAAGAACGTTTTTATAACATCTTCCTAAATTTATTAATAACAGTATTTTGAACATATGCTTATTTAGAACCGTCCCTAAAAAGGGGTAGAGTGCGATAATGGGTTAATCATAAAGGTTATTTTTTCTTCCGTATTTATGTTTCAAATTAATTAATTCTAAATATAATTCATAATGGAATTATTGAACATTGAAATATTCGGAACCACTGCTAAAAAGGGACAGAGTGTACCATAAAAAGTTGTAAGTAGAATGTAAATTTCTTATTTATTTATTCTATAAATAATAGAAAAGAATGAGACTTTATATGAATGATGACTTTTCATAGAGAGCTTTTTCCTTTACAAGTAGTTTCATATGTTTAGGAAAGTATAATTTTGCTAATAAAAAATGATTATTTGACAATTTGTACACAGAAACTCATATATATTTTTAAAGCACATTATTGTTAGACTTAGCAACCTATGCGTTATATTCAGTTCTACTTTGAGTAATTGATATTCATTTTTCCATTAAGCAGACACAAATTGAATAATAATAAATATTTTGTCGCGTGTTTTTTATAGAATATTTTTCTATTTACTTTTGCTTCATTCTAATGTTGGAAATAATTATTTTAAATGTAAAATTGTAAGGAAAGATAAATTTATAATTTATACTTTATTTGTTCAAATAAATAGTTAATGCGCAGAACAATGTCCAATGAATACTTATATAATAATGAATATATAATTGCGAATAATAATTGTATAAATAGAAATAATCTTCTTTTCGTTTAACTTATTTCATGAGTTTTTTCATTGTTCTTATACTTTAAAAGACAGAATAGAGAACATAAATTTTTGGATGTAATATTTAAGTCATTTGATTAGTTTACTCTTACACACATAAATCATTACATATGTAATGATTACTATTAGTAGTTACTATTATAATTATCATTGTTATTATATCTTTTATTAAATTATAACTGTAGTTTGTTTCGTTTTCTTTTATGTTTCTTGTCAGAAAACTCAATAGAGGAATTAACTAAATTGAATAGTTAAATGAGAGGTCTAATTTTCAGAGGCAAAAGAACAAGCAAAAATGTATTATTTTATTTCATGTATATTTTGATAACTAAATTAGATTCCCTATACTTTTTTAGAGATTCTTTTCAGAAGGTCATAAAAATAGCATGATTAAATATTTTAAGTTAATAACATGATGATCTAGAACAATATTTAGTCCTCTCTTATGCTCTGTTTAAAAATATGTACAATGAGAAAAAAAGTTAAAAACTTTGAAGACCAGAAAACTTTTTCAGAACCCTTCTACTAAATTCGTTGTTAAAAATGTTCAACACTTAATGGGATAGGACGTTGATAAGAGACCATCTTGAAATCATTTATACGTTTCGATCTTAGTAATATCAAACGCAAAATGATTTTGATAACTCTGAAGAACATCTAGAATTCTTCCATATGTTTTGAGGCTTCAAGAACATCAAAGATGAGTTATGCAAAATGACTTTGATGGCCTTAACGAACAGTTCGAATTCTTTCATGTGTTTTGATATGACAAGAACAGATGGGTGATGCAAAATGACTTTGATGGCCCTAAAGAACAGTTCGAGTTCTTCCATATGTTTTGACGTTATAAGAACAGTTAAATGAAACAAAATGACTTTGATGACCTTAAAGAATATTTCGAGTTTTTTCCTTATGTTTTGATGTTACAGGAATAGATGGGTGATGCTAAATGACTTTGATGACCCTAAAGAACATTTCAAATTTTTCCACATGTTTTGATGTTACAAGATTAGACAAGTAATGCAAAATGTTTTTCAATCCTAACAATTGTAAAAAAAGTGTTTTTTTCCGTTATTACTAGAAGATTTCAGTACTTAAATCTAATGTATTTAACATTTTAGATCTCTTAGTCCTATCGAGATCTACAATTAGTTTGTATTTCAATAAGGCAGTTGGGAAATCTTTATGCTAGAAAGGATAGATCTTTCTGCCTACAACCAATTTTGTTTTCGTAAAAAAGAGAATAATAGGTAATTTCAATAGGAAAAGATGTGTTGTAAACAGTTTCCTGTTATTACTATTCATTCAAATGTTATTCATCAAGTTCTTCCATTTATATCTTTAGCTATTATAACAGAATGATGTGTAAATAATGTAACGGAATAATGTGTATATATTATATAAATATATATGTATATATATAGAAATAATATAAATAGTAATGTATATATAAATATTATAGCAGTAATAAATGTATAATTTAACAGAGTAATATTGTCACAGAATAATGCAATTCCCTTCTGAAGACGAAAATTTGTGTATACTGTTCATTTCCAAAAGTATTATATATGTTTAAAATCAAATTATTGAATTTTCTTTTGAAAATAAAATTTTTTGGCCAGTTTTACTAAAATTTCTTTGTTTTAAATCCACTAGAAGGCTTAATCTGCTGGATTAACAATCAATGATTAATTAATTAATGCACCTTTTAATTTTCCAGTTTCGTAAAACTCTATGAATTCCTAATTTTAAAATATTGTCAAAAAAAGAAAAGTGTATAATTTGATTATGCATGGATAGGTAATATTTACTGTATAATAGAATATAAGTACTATAGACTATAATTTTGAAGACCTCCTAATTTTGAAAACTTAAAAAAATTGCATTGCTGGTTTTAAAATTTTTTCGAATTAATAAAAGGTGTATTATGTGATCATGTACTTGTTTTTTTATATGAGACTTTGTGATATTTTAGGATGCACTAATATTTCAAAATTTGGCCTTAAGGAATAGAAAACACTTTGCTCACTAATTTATTTCTTATTTTAAAGTGATTAATAATATATATTGAAAATTACGTGATTTAAATTTTTAAATATATGTTGTAAATTTATGTCATCAAATTGTCAAAAAAAAGTTTTACTCATTTCACTATTCTATCTCTAAAATATGAATGGTTTGAATCATCAACTGAGAAAACTCGATGGGAGCATTTATCAAAACACTGACATACAATCAATTGTAGCTGCTTTCTATATAAATACTGCATCCGGCTAACCATTAAATTTGGTCACTGCAATTGTCGAATGCCTTGTAGAGATTCAAAATTTAAAATAAATCTTGATGAATATATTTAATTAGA